AATCAGTGAGTCCCTAAACACATAAATAGCATTCCTTGTCCTACAGCCAGTTCCTGGTCGTGGTTTCCTCTTGGTTTCAGATTAGTGTGTTCATATTATATTTTCTAACTTTCTTGACTTTGGCTTGTTCTTTGACCATGTGTACCTGTGAAATCCTGACCTGGCTAGTTTCATTATTCTCCAGTATCTCTGTTACCCTGATTTATTATATTATGGTATATCCTTTAAGAATTTTCTCTCTGTCCACATTTAGCCACTCTATTTAGTTTTCCAATGTTCTGTATATACAGATGAATAGACAGAAATGTATAGAGAATTAAAATACGTTCAAGCTTTAGGAGAAAACTTATTTTGCATTTGTCTGCACTGTACAGTATTTTCAATTGCTAATGAGCAGAAACAATTTACGCGTTAATCCGAGCTCACATGTGTAGTGTAGAGCAGTGTCTGAATTATAATCTGAGAAGTTCCAGGACTAGCTGCATTGCACGGAAAAGTGAGACAAAGACGCCTCAGTTGTTGCTGAACTGGTCTTTATGGCTTTTTCCTTGTCAGTCTGTCACTTCTGCCTTCGGCCACAGCTCCAGGTGCTGATGAAATCACTGCCTAGCACACTAAGCACTTCCTATTCTGCAGCTGGCTGGGTTCCTCCAACCCCCAACCTCCTTCTGGATTCCTCCTTCAAATATGACTCCTAAATGCTAAAGATACCTTTACTATTTCATTGCCAGAAAAAAAACGTACAGACTCCGCTTCCAATTGAGCTGAATGGAATAGAGAAAAATATTTCCATGCTACTGAAATGCTATAATTTATTACTACTGACATTTTTTTAATGTTAAAGGGGCATGCAAAGCACTAAACCATTAAATCTGGTCATGGTGACATTATATTTTATTATTATTTATTTATTTATTTTAACTTAAAGTCATAAATACAGTACATTGTAGTAAGAGTGCAGTATGTACAAATGCAACCCATAACACAGATCTTGACCATGACCGTGTATTCCACATCACATCAGGAATTTCTGAAAATGGTTTGAACTGCACCTACACTCGGGGGGGGATAAGACAGCACCTTCTGGCAGAGACAGAGTGCCACTGTGTATAAGTCTTATAGTTTAGTGAGGTCTGGTCGCTGTACAGAAATCAGTGAAGGGTTCCATCCCTGACCAGTTTCATGCATCCATAGGCTGGGCTCAGAAACAGGTCATTCTGGTAAACACAACCCATCTTCCTGCTAAGCTGTGGATAATGACAATTCTGTTGTTATCTAATCTTATCTAATTATGTGGAACTCCCGCTCTATGTATTTAATTGCGGCTCAGACTGCCTCCGATACTTGTGGTACTTAGTAGTCAGACGGCTAGCTTAGTGCTCCGGTCAGTGGTAACAGTCCCGCACTGTAGAAACATCTCACACCTCTAGCCCATTAACACTATCTTCAAGCAGCAGAGCAAAGCCTTTTGAGTAGTGCAATAGCGAAGAGGTCGGCTGTCCTGATTAGTAAAAGAGTAAAAGTATTAGTAGGTAGTGAGGGAGAGAAATAAGTGATGTGAGGAAGTAGGAAGAAGAGGGGGGTGAGAAAGGTGGGGGGGGGGTGGAAGTGAGGCAAGGGATCAGGAAGAGGTGCTAGATGGGTAACTGGCTGTAAAAGGAAGAGGTCCCAGGTTGCCTTCCCCACCACATTCTGAAATCCGCGTCATGCCCGGGAGGGGAACTCTTATGTCACATCGGCAGCCCTCATGGTCCACTAGCCCATCTGTTCTCTTGTACTCAGGAAAAACATCCACTTTCTCCAAAGCTCCCAGCTGTAAAATCTAATCATATTAGTAATGATCTACTCGTAAAGAGGTTTCACATTTAGTTTTTTTATATATAAATTTTCAGCGTCACATAATGAAGCTGACCAGGTTCTAATGAGTTCAATTAATACATGTCATAGTTTCAGATTGCAAAAACTATGACATACAAAGAGGAACAATCTCACAAATCATGAAAGCATATGCCACACACGGATAAACTACACCGACAAAGAGGATCAGTGATTACAAGTTCCTGCTTTCACACAAAGTTTCAAGGAGACATTTTATCTCAAATGGACAAATTCCCATTAGGCTCTTCTGAGGCTTATTAGTAACAAAATTCTGCAGCTAAAATTCAATATAGAACAAGAACAATGTATCTTATTTAAACAGCAAATAAGTAATGATGGTCCAGGCACCAGAGTTCAATTCAGTGAGCAGATTTATTGGAGCAAAATCCATTTTTTTGCTCCAATTAATTTTGTTTCAATAAATCTGCCTATGGATTGAACTTGAGTGCTTGGGCCATCATTACTTTTTTTCAAATTCCATTGTGAGGATTGGCCAACCTCAGGACTGGTTGCACCCTGGTACCCAGGAGAGTGCGGTATCCATATTGGTAATTATAATCTCATAAGAGCAGGCATAAGGTTGCTAGGGAGTACCTACCAAATATGGGGTACATTGACGTTATGGCGGGCTAATGCAATGTATGAGCATATACTGTAAACCCCCATTATTTTTTGCCAAACTGAGGTGTTTGAAGCTGGTGTTTAGTAAGTGTGTGCGTGCACGTACTGAATCTTGCTTATTCATATATACATGTTACTAATTTCAATTCACTTACATTAACAAGTTACAGCATTTTCAGGTGCCAAACACACTGCCAAAATCCTTGAAACTAATGGGATGTAAATCTCTCCCATGCATAACAGATGCAGAAGTGGCCAATTCAATATACTGCCTTAAGGGCCACTGCTGTGTGTCGAATGTAGTACAAGACCAAAACAAACCCCATTTCTTACAAGTGGATTTAAATATTTACAGCATTGAGCCCTTATTAAGGCATTTAAATCAGCTTGGAGGTTTAATCTTGGCACACACGTCTTTCTGCGTTCCGCTAAACAGCTCAGAGTTTTGGCTGCAGTCCTACAAGTCGCCCAGATTGGTGAGTCAAATCCTTCAATAGCGTGCGGAGAAACTTGTGAGAGGTCAGTTTTATCAGTATGTAAACTCAAATCTCATCCATCAAGATATAAACTGGAGATAACCGTAAATAGTTAGTGACTTATTTGTATTGCTTTGTTTCTCTTTAAGCACAGATATAAAATGTTGTATATAGTTCTGAACCAAGATGCTGGTTTGTACTCAAATTTTCTCTAAATTTGTTACTTTTTTTTTCTGCAGATCAATCATTCCTAGAGGCTTGTTCTCTTGTGAGCTTGAGGGTAACTGATCAGCCGACTTTACACAAAAGGTATTAATGTAAACATGTATTGCATAAATTATATAGAGACTCTGGGGAAAAAAAACATATATATACCGGGTCAATTTAATGCTGACTTTCACAATGTTACATGGATGTGTTTCCTGCCTGGTCTTCGCAGCAAGGTTTAAGTGACATCACTGAAACTAAAACCATAACAACATAAGTTGCCCCAATGGAACTCATCTATTCACAAGCCAGTGTGTAAACTCCTTTTGCCTTTTGGTGTTTCTCTAGTCTAATAAATGTGTTGGCTGCATTTTTCAGTAGTATCATTATCAAAATGTATACAGCTGATGTGGTAAGATTTGCACTCTAACACTCCAAATGCTTACTTAAAGGACCACTATAGGCACCCAGACCACTTCAGCTCAATGAAGTGGTCTGGGAGCCAGGTCCCTCTAGTGCAGTAATGGCGAACCTATGGCACGCGTGCCACAGGTGGCACGCCGAGCCCCCTCCGTGGGCACGCGGCCATAGGTTGCCGGAGGGAGGGAGGGTGCGCTCCGCCGGCGCATCCATAAGGCGGCACAAGTGGCCGCCTTAGGGTGTACCGGCCCAGCGGGCGCAAAACAGGAGTGACCGGCAGGAGGTGAGCGCATAGAGCACAGCGCTCCCTCCTGCCAGGCACTCTGTGTAGCATGGCCGAGCGCACCGCGGTACAGGAACTTATGTTTCCTGTACCCGGGCGGACGGAAATGAAGTGCTCACTGAGAGCACTGCGTCCGGCCGGGTGTTGTGTGAAAACTGAGCCCGCTGCCGCCACGCCACAAGGCAGGAGCCCAAGGGGACAATTTTGAGGGAGAGATGGGGAGACACCTGAGGGAGAGATGGGGGAAGGGCACAACCTGAGGGGAGAGATGGGGGGGGAAGGGGACAACTTCGAGGGAGAGATGGGGGGGGTGGGGGGACCTGAGGAGAGATATGGGGAAGTGTGGACCCGGGAGAGATCGGGGAAGGGGACACCCTGAGGGAGAGAGATGGGGGAGGGGGACCTGAGGGAGAGATGGGGAAGGGGGGGGACCTGAGGGAGAGATGGGGAAGGGGGGGGGACCTGAGGGAGAGATGAAGGGGACACCCTGAGGGAGATGGGGAAGGGGACACCCTGAGGGAGAGATGGGGGGAAGGGACACCCTGAGGGAGATGGGGGAAGGTCCCTGAGGGAGAGATGGGGGACGGGACACCCCGGGAGGGAGAGAGATGGGAAGGGGGACCTGAGGCAGAGATGGGGAAGGGGGGACCCAGGAGAGATGGGGGAAGGGGAGGACCTGAGGGAGATGGGGGATCTGAGGGAGAGATGGGGGGTATGTGAACCCGAGGGAGAGAGATGGGGACTGAGGGAGAGAGATGGGGGGGGAACTGAGGGAGAGAGATGGGGGGGAACTGAGGGAGAGAGATGGGGGGGGAACTGAGTGTGGGATGGGAGAAAAAAAAATGAGGGAGGGAGGGATGGGGGGAAAGAAAAAGTGGGTGGGGGGGAGGGGACGACATACACACAGCACCCCTGCCCTACACATATCACCCCACACAAACACACACACATCACCCCCCACCCACACACATCACCCCACCCATCACCCCACACACAAACACATCACCGTACACACAAACACATACACTGTACCCCTCAATGCGGTGTGTGTATTTAGCAGTCTGTGTGTGTGTACACTCAGCAGTCTGTCTGTTTGTGTGTGTACTCGGCAGTCTGTGTGTGTGTGTGTGTGTGTGTGTGTATTCAGCAGTCTGCTAGTGTGTATTCAGCAGTCTGCTAAATACACATACAGACAGACTGCGAGCACACACACAAACTGCTTAATACACACACAGATGTTAATTAGTTCGGACAACTGTATGAGTTGTTTTTTCTAAACTTAAACCTCAATATTCAGGTTTAATTGCCATTTTGGCACTTTGAGGGGAAAAAAAATTGGCATGTATTACGGTTTGGGCACTCGGGCTCAAAAAGGTTCGCCATCACTGCTCTAGTGTTAGTCCTGCAGCTGAAAACATAGCAGTTTCAGAGAAACTGCTATGTTTCACTGAGTGTTAATCCAGCCTCTAGTGACTGTCTCACTGACAGCCGCTAGAGGCGCTTCCGCGCTTCTTACTGTGAAAATCACAGTGAGAAGATGCTGGACGTCCATAGGAAAGCAGTGAGAAATGCTTTACTATGGGCAGTTTGAATGCGCGCGCTCGCGCACGGCTCTTGCCGCGCATGCATATTCGGCACTGACATCGGTAGGAGGAGGAAAGTTCCCAGCGCTGGAGAAAGGTAAGTGGCTGAAGGGTTTTTAACCCATTCAGTCCAACGGGAGTGGGATCCTGAGGATGGGGGGGGACCTAATGACCCTATAGTGCCAGGAAAACAAGTTTGGTTTCCTGGCACTATAGTGGTCCTTTAAATCCCCAAAATATTTAAAGCTTCTTTCGACTGCAGTTTAATTTGCACCATTGTGTGTGTTGCTACATATTTCAGAACTCGTTGAAGCCAAGAACAAAATACTTTACCAACAAATAATTGCATTTTTATAAACCATAACAGCTGTGATACTATTATAAAAACCACTCACTGCAGGAGAGGTCCTCTGCCTTAAAGGAACAATCCAGGCACCATAAATTCATTGAAAACAACTTCAAGAGAAAAGAAGCTGCCCTACATGAACGCTTTTTGTCTAATGCTTAAAGGGACACTGTAGGCGCTCCTTATGTTTTTTTTTTTATATTAATTCTTTAATTATAATTTTTTAAGATATGGTTTAATGAAAACAGGGATTACAGCATAAAGAAAGAGGAGTGGGAACGCATCAGGGAAAATACAGGCTTAATGGTTTAAAAAATGGAAAGCGTATCTCTTGAATGCACAGCCGATTACATAGGTGCAGATATACCAAAGGTAAATATGAAGTCAGGAACAAAATAGGTACATTGAGTGAGTGAGAGACTGCATAGCTGCATAAATTCCCTTAATGAATGAACGTAAATGAATAAGTAAAACAAATGAATCAGGGAGGGGAGGAGGAAGATGCACATCTTCATTGGATGGGGGGGAGAAAGCTCAAAGGGGATAGGAATGTGTCTGTAGGAAGTTTTCCTTTCCCTTTTCCTTTTTTTTTTTTTTTAAATTCTTTATTTCTTGAATTTTTAGTTTTACAGAAAGGGAAAGGGCCATACAGTTTTGTTAGTGATTGATGTAAAGAAAGGAAATGCCTTACGTCTCACAACATTGCTTGTTTTCTTATGATGTGTAGTGAGGCCACCTGAAGCTCCCCGTGGTTCTTTTTCTGCATCCCTGGAGGAGGGGGGGGGGGTCGCCTGTTGCCCCTTTATGTTGTCTGTGCAAGGGCTTAATTGGGGCTTGGTGGTACACGTCCCCTGGCCACCCCTGTAGGTGGCCTACCTCTCCCCCTCGTAGATCCGATCGAGCAGTGCATGACGTGATGAGTGGTCATTGTTGTTTGGCAGGCAGGGGGCCTCCAGGATATAGTGTTGGTTTAGGTGTCCTGTGGTCACTTATTTGTATGCGTTGTTTTGGGTGTTGGCCTTAGGGGTTCGGTAGGAGCAGGGGGGTGGGGTTGGTGCTGTCAACCCCTAGCAGAGTCAGTGAGCAGGATCTTTTTTTCATGTTACTGTATGGGAAGGATGGGGGGAGTGCTGTTGAGTCGGCACTATGGTCAGTGTGGGCAATGTGTTTGGGGTCCCCTTGGGGTGTTGTCCCCCTGCTAGGTTGTTGGTGTTTTCATGTCAATTAGGAGTGGTGTGTTGTGCTTGGGGTTTGGGTTTCTCCTTGTCAGGGTTATGTACTGTGTGTTTCCCTCGCTATGGGCTGGGAAGGTGGGGTGGGGTGTGGGTTCTGTTGACCATCCTCGCGTGTCTGGCCCCTGGAAGGAGGAGAAGGGAGAATGTATGGGGGTGGGGAAGTATAAGCGGGAGGAAGGGAGGGTAAAAGGGAGGTGGCAGCCAGGTGAGAGCAAGGATGTGTGAGTGAGATGGAAGAGTGAGAGGGGAAAGGGAGAAAGAGGAGAATAAAGAGAAAAGGAGAAGAGAGAGAAGAGAGAAAGGAAAAATAAAGGGGGGGAATTGGAGGGAGGGTGGTGGAGGGACAGAAGGAGGTTAGGTTGGCCTCTCCCTGCTTTTGTACGACTTCTTGTCTGTTGCTTTTCATGCCTTGATTGCCAATGGTCCCTGTTGGAGGGTTGAACTGTGCCACTTCGCAGTAGTACAAAAGAAAGTAGTACAAGAGGGTTTGTGGGAGGGAGATTGCTAGGTTAGTGATACGTTTAGGTCTGTCCCTGGATAATTTGTGTCCCAGAAGTCACTGAAGGCTCTCTTACCATTTCATCCCATTAAATTAGTTATAGTGCCTGGAGTCCCTTGGAAGTGTCACTCCATTCAGTGGTGCATTGAATGAGTGTTCCTGGCTTCCTATATCCCTGCCCCCACTGGAGTTGTGGCTAAGGAAGAGATTGCACACTTCCTTCTAGCCATACTGATTTATACCCCCAATGGACACTGTGATAGGCTAAAAGAGGTCAGCTGACAATCTCTTAGAACTTTGAATGAACACTTCAGCATTAGATATAAAACCCTTTATTTTTAACACTGGAAGGTTCCACTGTTTAATTTTATTTGTGGGCTCGCTGTTCCAAAAAAAAAAAAAAAAGAGACGAGACGTTGACTTATCTCTAATCCAATAGCAAGAACGTCTTCTTGCAGCAACTCTGTTTCACCCCAGAGGTACCCTCACCAGTCAGGGGACCTCCCAAGCCAATCCAATATTTCTCACTGGGGTCCTACAGCAGCCATTGTGCTGCTGTAAAAGAATGCTTCTCTATGAAGCATTGACTTCTGCTTTGTGCACATGCTCAGAAAGAGTAAGGAAGAGCACCATTCCTGCTTTTTGATTGACTGTCAAAGGAATTTATTTAAAAAGTGCCACTTTCTCTTGAAATTTTTATAAAATAAGGTAAAGAGACACTTGATTAACCCCTAAAGAACTTCACCAAGCTTAAGTGCTTTGGGAGTTTGGGATGTTCCCTTAATGTGGGTTTAGGCAACTCCCTGAATAAATACATACATAAATAATAATATCCCAATTAAATTCAACAAGCTGATTCACTAAGCCAGGAAATAGCAAAAGTATATACTAATAAGGTACATATGAAACTGAAAAAAATTAAGATCAATGTGTGCAGCGGTCGTAAAAAAAGACAGGAAACCCAATGATAATTAGCTTATTGAGTAAAGAAGGTTTACTCCTGGCTTCCTATATCTCTGCCCCCACTGGAGTTGTGGCCAAGGAAGAGATTGTACACTTCCTTCTAGCCATACCGATGTATACCCCTAATGGGCACTGTGATAGGCTAAAGGAGGTCAGCAGACAATCTTAGCCAAACACAGCTGCCCAATGCTGCTCAGGCTTATGGAACTTTGAATGAACGCTGAAACAAAATCTGGAAAGGTATTTAATCTCAAAATAATATCCCATGCCACGAATGTATAATAGGCACTGAAAATGTCAAACAATAGATCAAGCTTCACAGACACAGAAAGTAATTGCTTTAAAAAAAAAAAAAAAAGTGATTGGGAGACAAAGCATACAAAACCAGGATTCCTGGGGGGGAGAATGTAATAAAATCTAATGAGTTGACTTTTCCCATATTATCTACATCATGGCATGTTTGATTTTGTGGAACACTTCAAGTGCTATAACCACTACAACACTTTAAAAATTATTACTGTTCTAAAACAGATTGTCAAGTTACAATAGGACCACAAGGGCACTCCTTGCACCATAACCACTACAGTGTTCTGTAGTGTTTATGGCATCTTGAGTGTCCCTTTAAAAAAATCCTTTTGTTATTTGCAATATCTGTTGCCATGCTGGAGGAGCTGTACAGATGTGAACATCATCTTTGTGAAAGACATTAGGATTGATGATAGTTTCGTGTTGTCACGCAGTAGCCAGGTAATAGTTAGCCGTTTTAAATTTCCACATGCAACCTATGGTGGAAAGATTTCTCCTTTGCAATTTTCCAATGGGAAAGTACAATAATACCTGCATGCACACTCCTAAACAAATTCAGGAATTGGTCATATGAACAACACAATGAAGTAAAACAAACACTTAATATCAACATGATAGCATGTTCCAGCAATTCTGAAGTGCAACATACAAATGAATATTCCAGCTCTTCCATCTCTAAATAAACTAGAGCCGAAGTGCCCAAAAGGTAGATCCCCAAATGCTGTTGAACTACAACTCCCATGATACTTTGCATGCCTTTAGAATTGCAAAGAATTATGGAAGCAGCAGTTTTAAAACATCTATGACTATGGGTGGTAGATCCTCACATGATGCAAAACTACAATTCTCTTGATGCGTATAAATCCTAAAATATCAAGAGATTTGTAGTTCTCCAACATCTCAACATTCATAACAAGTATTTGTGTATTTGCTTTTTTAATCTTTTGCCAGGAAGAAAACATTGATAATTATCTTGTTCCCAAGTATGCTTTTGGCATTATGCCTAGGTTATGTGTTTCACTTAAGATATAGTACTTTTTTCATTTACATTTTTGCAGAACATACCTTTATTGCCTCGATAACCAGATCCCTGGCTTCCAGTTCCCCCTCTAAGATGCTCAGCAGTGTCAGCAATTCTGGTTTGCTGAGTTTTTCTAGATTCATTGTGTTCCCCTAAAAATAAGGAAGTAGAAATGAGATAATGCGTGTAAAAATACAATAAACACGTGACATGAAAAGGAGATTATTCATATAACGAGAAGCTCAGT